AACACATGGTAGGCACAGGTTATATATGCCTGCCCTTCTGATTGCATAATCAATTGACCTAGCTATTTCATTTCTGTCTATTCGTTTAGTGATGAGTCAGTCAGATTTGATTTCGACCAATTTGGTCTCTCGTGTGCTGGTACGGGTATGAGGGCGGTTGTCACTTCCCGGCTGCCCACACCGTGGAAGGTTGTTTCTTGAGGGACCTGAAAAGGAAGATAGATTAGTGTTGGTCTTAGAGACCTGGGTGCGTGACCGCAGAGCCCAAGGGACAACTGCTTGAGGCCGGTCACGCACGGTCTTTTTATGTAAGGTATTTAGAGGATTAGCTCCGTTCTTAAAGGCCCTTAGTGGGCACCCTTACCGACGGAGACGGAAATCCGTGAGGTAAGGTGAGGTGTGACATTTTTAGGGTCGACCTTTTCTAACCCTTCCTTCCTTGTGAGAAGGCAGCATCGCTGCAGATGCTGGTTATCCGAGGGAAACACCTTACTGCTGTCATACCCCTCTGCAGTCAGCTGTACGACTTCGCCCTCAGACCTTGAGTAGCTGCTTTTAGTCTCATCGTTCTCCAATCGACCTGCCTGGCATAGTAGGACCTGCAGTAACATATGTTCGAGCCAGTATAGCTCGGTTGGGTCATCACGATAGGCAAGCCCGACCACCACGTCAAGGTAGCAGCTACGGTCGGGTTAGTGATGCGTAACTTGTGTTTATCACGGATTCTTTTGTTCAGTGGAATAACAAACAATTTAAATGCTTAAATCATTGACATTTCAACTATTAGATTAAAAGTTAGGACTACGTCTTAGTTTTTATTCGGTTTGAACAAGTGGGTTAAACAGCATCGCTGATCCTCATGGCGAAAACACATGCATCAAAATACAATAAACCTCTCTCTGCTCAATGTGTTACATTATTTCTCTTCTTTATTATAAATATTTTTCTTATATTCTCGTTATTGTACACTTCTAGGTGAATATTCCTTTGATTAATATGAAATCTCTCTGATAAACCAACTATTTTCATAAATAAATTAAATCGTTCATGGATGATAACCTAATTTAAGGCAAATTCCTAAAATTCTAATCAAAAGTCATGAATAGTCGAATTCAGTCATGTTGAACAGTTTGGAGAGGACTGATACGAGTGAAAAGTAATTGGCGTAACTCAGATCCGTTCAGTCTTTGTTCAGTCAGTCAGTCAGTTGCAACGTAGAACTTCGTACGTATGTACATAAGTTCATGTTGCCATACCACATCAGCACAGGGACGCAAATGTCAAATCAAATCCCATAGTGATAAAGATAGTAGAGGTATTAATGGTAATGAAGAAGACTAGGGTTTGAAGATATTATTCAAGAAGTATAATTCAGTGAGATAAGGTTAGAAAGACAAGGGTGGAGTGCTGACGAATCCAGAAGACTATGATTTGAGAGAGCTTAAAGAATGGATGCACTTGCGCCATTGCAAACGGTTTCGAGCCATGTCATTCAGGGTCACTAACCATCGACTATTATCACCTCGCGGACTCCAACCAGGTAGTCTACATCTACCAACATCACTCAGTCCACTTGTCAATGAATTCATGGATTTCTGCCATGTTTTTGTTTGGCCGCCCCTAACTTTCTTCCAACATATTCCTACACTACAAAACAAAGCTCGTCGAGGCAGTCGGTGGTTAGCCATACGTAACACATGTCCCAACGACCTCAACTGATGAAGTTTCACCACTTCATCTATTGATCTCCCATCCTTACCTAGTACTCGTTTCCTTACGACAGCATTGCTTACTCGGTTGTCCCACTATATACGAGCAATGCTTCCTAAACATCTATGATCGAATACTGGTAACCTACGAACATCTTCTACTCTTAACGGCCATCTTTCGCATCCGTATAAGAGAACGGAGCGAACTGCTACGCAGTACACTCGTTCTTTCGTTAGCGAACGGGTATCACGCCTACACCTTAAGTCTTTGTTCTCCCTTAGATCTATAGGGTTTTAAAATTATGTTGTATTTTGGATTTCACAAACTAATTCTTTCTTCTCAAATGATATCGTCCATATCTTGTGTTTCCTAATGTTACTAATTCCTATTACTCAGAAATTTGTTTTGAGAATTTTTATTGCATTGGGTGGATAATGACATGATGACTTGAATCATTGCACACGATCCTACAATGCTTATAATTGACTGACTGACGTCAGTAAGTGAGATTAGGTATTATTGTTAACATTGGATTTTTGTCGCCGTATATATATCACAATTGAATTATTTCTTCTGGTTAGCGTTTTCCGGCAAGTTAGTTTTTTGACGCGATAGGGTCGCCAAACTATGCCTAACCCTCCTCCTTTATCCGGGCTTGCGACCGATAGTAGCACCGAAGGGTCTACAGGCGGAGGGAAGCATGGTATTCAGTGGACAGCTAGGACGCAGCTGGACGATTTGGACTACGCAGATGACCTGACTCTTCTATCGCACACGCAGAAACAAATGCAAGAGAAGACGACCAGTGTAGCAACAGGTCTCAACATACATGAAGGAAAAAGTGAAATTCTCCGATGCAACAAAACATGCACCAACCAAATCACTGTTGATGAAGATGCCTTAGAGGAAGTTGACATCTTTACATATCTTGGCAGCATCATCGACGAGATAGGTGGATCCGATGCAGATGTGAGGGCGCGGATTGGCAAAGCAAGGGCTGCATTTCTACATTTGAAAAATATCTGGAACTTCAAACAACTTACAACCAAAACCAAAATCAGGGTTTTCAATACAAATGTCAAGACAATTCTATTATATGGGGCGAAAACTAAGAGAATCACCACAGCCGTCATCCAGAAGATACAAGTATTCGTTAATAGTTGTCTTCGCGAAATACTTGGGATTCGTTGGCCAGACACTATCAGCAATAACTTACTGTGGGAGAAAACAAACCAGATTCTAGTGGAGGAGGAAATCAGGAAGAAGCGGTGGAAGTGGATAGGATACACCACACTGCGTCACAAGACAAGCCCTCACATGGAACCGTGAAGGCAAAAGGAAAAGAGGAAGGCCAAGGAACACATTACGCTGAGAAATAGAGAAAGAAATGAGAGGAATGAACAAACATTGGACAGAACTGGAGAGGGAAGACAGAGTTGGTTGGGGAAAACTGGTGGTCGGTCTATGCTCCATCGGGTGTAACAGTCGTAAGTAAGTAATCTATATCACAAAATTGTTTGAAGTTGGAAATGTAAACTATTGGATTTTAATTCACTAAAGTTTTGTTTAACATGCTATCCTGGAGATGTGATGTATTATTATCATTGGTACACACACACACACTGCTATGCAATCATCAGTTAAAACAAAATAGCTGTCCTTTGCTCTATCTACGTTGTTCAATGGTTCACCATTGTCCAATTTTCTATCATTTGTAAATTTTGGCGAGTAATGTGATTTTGTTTTTAATTTTCTTAGTATCTCTCTTTGTTTCTTCAAGAATATCTTATTTTTTTTTAAAATACAACCTATTGTTAATTGGAAAAATGAACATTTCTTCCAGATTATAATTATGTTTTTAGCCTATTTCCTTAAAGCATTGATATTATCATTATTATTATTATGAATGTTTTTAATCGAATGTGATAGGATGAAACAGTTAGTTGAATTTTTTAATGAAATTCTTAAATTAATCGATGGATCTAGTTATTCTTCAAAGTAAGTTATTATTGTTCTTTTTATTTCCAATTGTTTATCGATCTCATAGATAGCCTTTAAAAAAAGAAACTATTTATTGCGTGAGAAAGTAAGTTTTCTCATCATGAACTGACATTAACTAGAAATCTATCGGAAATTGTAATTGTAGTTTGATACTCTTCAACGGCTTACATTCCAAAACCATATAGAACTGAATACAAGATATTGAAATCTTATAGCAAGCGTGTGATACTTTTTTGATTAGTTAAGGTTGACATTCAATGGAGCATAGTCAGTCAGTCAGTCAGATGCAATGTAGAACTTTGTACGTAAGTACATCAGTTCATGTCGCCATACCACATCAGTACAGAGATGTAATTGTCAATTCAAATCCAGTAGTAGTAGAGATAGTAAAGGTATTAGCAGTAATCGGAGAGGTTAGGATTAGAAGATATTATTCAAGAAGTATAATTCAGTGAGATAAGGTTAGAAAGTCAAAACTAGATGTGTTGAAGAACTCAGAAGATTAGGATTTGAGAGAACACAAAGAATAAATGCACCGACGCCATTGCAAACAATTTTGAGCCATGTCATTCAGGGTCTCTAACCATCGATTACTATCATCTCGCAGACCCCACCCAGGTAATTGACATCTACCGACGTGACTCAGTCCACTTGTCAGTGACTTCATGGATTTCTGCCATGTTTTGGTCTGACCGCCCATAGCTTTCTTCCAACCTATTCCTACACTACATAACAAAGCTCGTCGAGGCAGTCGGTGGTTAGCCATACGCAGCACATGTCCCAACCACCTCAAGTGATGAAGTTTCACCACTTCATCTATTGATCTGCCATTCTTACCAAGCATAGGCTGCCGACAATTTCTGGCTAGCGTTTTTTTTAGAGAGTTGGCTTTCTAAAAGATGGGATCCCTAACCTAGCCCTCCCTTCTCTATCTGGGCTTGGGGCTGGCAGTAACTCCAGGAGTTCTCCAGACTTCATAAGGACAATTAAACACGCATGGAAAAACTAAATTCAAACAAACCATCATTAATTTTCATTGTTAACATTGAACACCTTCCTTACCAACTCTCATAAATATATTGACAACATCGCTTTTAACTCCCATAGATGAGAAATCATTTCAGACTTTTACTAAATAAAAGATAGTTGTACATAGTATACTGTTGAAGATCTCATCATTGTATTTTTACTTGTACTAATTTCATAGTTAGAATTACGTATTCCTTTATTTTGCAGCCTCTATATAATATTCGGCTGTTAATTTTTATTTTCCCTCCAATTCACTGTAGGTCTGTTTGTATTGAAGAATATTTCTCGTCAAGACATAGTTGTTCAAATTCATTTCATACCTATGAATCAGATCCATATGGTAAAATTGTATTTGAACTACAAGGATTAATGAGAAAATTTTTCCCAAATAATAATCATAATAATAATAATACACCATCTATACGTGAATGGTTACCAATGATTATATTCAAAGTTATCCAATCAGCTACACATTGGCCTAGATTGTTTTTTCAACGTTTACAAACTACCACTGTACGACTTGTATTATTACCGAAAGCTGGTCATAATCCAGAAGATATATTAACAATTAATAATGATATTTGTCATATGATACAAGTAATGGGTGTTGTACAACAACGTAGTCGATTAACTAAACAAACTTTATTACGTCGTATTACAGCTGTACAAATTGTAATTAATGTCAATGAAATTTGTCCAGAAAGCATTAAAACAAATCAATTCACTAAATTAGATTGTATATTTTCCACACAAAAAACTGCACAATTAAAAGGTGATTATTTTCATTGTGAATTTTGTATAAGATTTCCTCAATCAGAATCGAATACTAACAAAACGCCATCATTGTCGTTGTCGGTCGACAGTAGCACGGTGACAGCAGCACCATCAGCATCAGGTGTTCGTCACAATGATCGAATATTCTGTATACATGCACATCCTATTTTAATTGATAATTTCGGTTCACATTGGGATTTGAGTGTAAATGCTGGTGCATCGGATGAAAGTGTACTTGTTCGAGTGGAATCACTTCCTTCGGGTGTTCCATCTACGCATCCATTGAATTCGTCAGAACAACAGCAGCAGCAAAAACAACAACATCATCAACAACAACAACCACGTTTAGATAATCAAGAGATCAATGAAACTGTTCCAACAACTGGATCTCACCAGTCCACTTCATCAATATCAACAAGAGAGAAATTATCGTATAGTTTTCATCAAAAAACTAATTTTGCCAAATCTAAACTTGTTTCAAGATCATTAGAAGGTTGGAAATCTCCACCGAAAAATCGTTCAAAGAAAATTATCAGTCATTTAAAATCTTGACAATAAAAATGTTCTGTTGATAGATAAACATTGTTGATATTTTTCAGAAAGAAAATAGTTTGTTTTTTAATTGTGTAAATATTTTGTAAAAATAAATTTTTGATACTTAATAAATAAAATTATCACTGCATATGATTAACCAAAGTCAAGTTCAAATTACAGTACTTTATGAAAGCATGAATCGTTCAATGTTAGACCACCATACGAAACTTGGAGGCACTGGACGGCCGCTTCCTCCTTGTATGCAACTCATCAGCAGTGCGCATCCACGACTCCTGCACCTCGCAGGGTTCGAACCAGGGACCTTCGATTTTGTGCGTGAACGCCTAACCTCTGGACCAATAAGCCGATATCTTATAAGATCGAAGGACCTGGGTTCGAATCCTGCAGGAGTTTTGGATGCGCACTGTTGATGAGTCTCATACCAGGATGAGACGGCCATCCAGTACTTGCAGGTTTCTAATGGTGGTCTTATATTGATCGATTCATGATTTCATAAACTAATTCATCATTCTCCACAACCCCATAATAAATTACATTAGATCTAAAAAATGAATTCTATTTTAACATGATTAGTTTTGAAGTCAAAAACATGAACAGTTTCATGTTGGCTTTTCCTCTTGTCTACAGGAGTATATCTGCTACTATGAAAAGATTATGTATTCTTAAACATACAACAATGTTTCAGTTTACACAAATAGAAATAAGTTGTTTTTTAATTAAACTGATTTATGATAGAACTTAATTATCCATACAAATAAGTCATCTGAAGAGAGATCACAATATGCATACGCGGTATAACTAGCTCTTACACTTAGAGTGTGATCTATACTCAAGTGTCTGATGAATGAGTTCATTTATTATCTAGTTCCTGGATGATTACATGTTTATTGATATTCAGAGTAGCTTTTCGCAAACAAACTTCCCGTCAATTTTCTCTACTCTAGCGTATACTATTTTCGGCTATCCTAAGCTTCGATTTGTAAGGTTTGAGACCTAAAACAAGTTTAATTCCTGCTGGTCCAGAATGTATATTAGTCCAGTCTTAAGCCCATTCATAGTTAGTAGTGCAATAACATACCTTGTGTGATCAAATGCATACAATAATACAGATTAATTTCTTGATCACATATTAACATGAGTATGAAATTATAATATAGCCATAACTGCGTCGAAAGTAGAAGAGAACAGAGGCAAATGATGAATAATTTATTAGCTATAATTAAGGAATAGTGGAACGTAGAGCAAGCAGTCAATAATGGGTGCACTACAAACATGCAATAACCTAATAACTCTATATTGGAAACATTAAATTATAGTCCGTAAAATAGCTCAGAAAGTTCTATTTTCCTCGATATACTCTCCATTGTACATTACATAATTTACTAACTGAGCTTACTAAATGTTTCTAATGAGTTATTTATGGTGAGCGTTTTCCAATAACGGTTGATCGTTGTTGTATTGACTAACAATAAAATATGTAGATGTTAGTTTTAAAGATTGACACAACAACCTACCATTTTAAAGTTATTTGTTTAAATATTTGATTGGGAATTGCACTCAGTCTATCATAAAATAAAAATCATCAGTTTTTTAAACTATGATTTCTGTGTTGCATAAAACCATGCCCGTTCCAACAAATGCAATTTCACTTAAAGCGATTCTTGTTTTGTATATGCGTGCTCATGAAACCATTAAATGGTTGAGCAAATCGTACAATATCCTTTCATTGTCAGATCAACTAGAAAATATATACAGAAATTATAGTCGAAATATGGGGAGAAATTGCACGAAACTTCAAAATGTATGTCGACGGATCATACATTGTAAATGTAAGCGAATTGCATTGAGCAGTTAGAAAAACAATCAGTTTAGATACCAAAGATAAGTTATTTGAATGCAGTTTAGTCATGTAATAGCACGCATAAAATCAAATTTTAATCCAGCCACAATTATGAATCATAATTTGATGATGGCTTTCTTTCATTAGTAAATGATGTAATTATAGATAAACTTTTAAGCACCTGATTCATCTCGTTCAATGTGAAAAATCTTGACAACTTACTGAATAAAACTTTAACGATCTATTTCATGTAAAAATCACAAATTCTTTCAAGAAACAATTTCCTTTTTAAGTATAAGTTAATGATCAGTATATCTCTTAAAGCACTCCAATTCATTCTCTGTTGATAAGTTGTATTTATATTTCTGTTATCAATTATTTTCAACTAATAACATCAGTCGGTGTATGATGTCATCCATTACAGTATAAAACAGCACTCGTAACTACTTATGGATGGTTCCTAACTCTGAGTCAAATCAGTCAGGCTTCACTGAAACTCCAGGATTTCGTTTCATAGATCTAAGTAAACTGAGCTGTGGTCCAATCGTAAACATTTCTAACATAAGTTAATTTTATTGTATATCTGACCTCTAACATGTATGAACTCATAGATTCGTACCAAAACTCCAAGATCTCTATTTATAAAGAGTATCGCATGTCCAATCCTAGCTGATTTACAATGTTTGCCTAAATAAAGTCAGTCTGCAATGCAAAGATCTAAGATTAATAATTTCTGTAGCTCATTTCATTATCACTTAGACCTAGAGTTCATTTGAAATCATCAATCAGTCATCGTTAGACCACCATTAGAAACCTGGAACCACTGGACGGCCGTTTCGTCCCGGTGTGGGACTCATCAGTAGTTCACATTCACGACTTCTGCACCCCGCAGGATTCGAACCCGGGACCTTCGGTATTGTGCGGAGCGCCTAACCATTGGACGACTGGGTCGGCACGCACTGGTGTTAATGTCTAACTCTGATTGATCTACGGATTTTGCGCCACCTCACCCATTTGTCTTTGGTAGTTACTTCCTACACCCGATTGCTGAAGATGAGTCCCATACTAGGACGAAACGGCGATCCAGTACTTCCAGGTTTCTAATGGGGTTGTCTAACAATTATTGATTGATGACTTCAAATGTTTAAAAACACTAATCTCCATAACTCTAATTGATAATAGTTCATTATTTTAAAATATGTATTTCGATTATTTATTATTGAAATGATCATATTTTTACAAAGTGAATGCATAGTTTGGAATTCATTCATAACATATACATACCATCACTCTCAAAATAATAATAAATGCATATCACTTCAATGTCATTGTAGCCAATTGTCATCTATAACTAGTTGCTTGAAAATTATAGAAAACATAATGCGACTGATTAGTCACACATAACAAAAATGAATAAATTTGAACTTTTTATCGGATAATTGATAACGTCGTTGTGTGTACATTTGTAAATGAGTTCACAATTAACCCGTATCTTCATTCAAGTCTTTTTTTCGTTCTATGTAACTATGGTATATATTACATGTGTTTATCATTAGTTTATTTTGATATTATTGTTATGGTTATTTGTGTATTACTAACAAAATATTTTTTTTTCATGAAATATAATAATGAGTAGGTAATAATATCATGTTGTAAATAAGTTTGATTGTTTTTCACAACCTACATATATTAAATAAGTAGCTGCTTATTTTCAAGTAGAGCAGCGATGATGTAGTTGTGAAAACATTCAATTTTCAATAGATGCACTCAAGCAAAGTATGTTTGTAAAGTACACAATCATGACAGATGATAATTTTCTAATAGGTAGAAAGAAAGTTGATCAATCAGTAATTGTCTAAAATCACTCTGTCCAGACGTGACTAGTACACTTCAACCTTGTCGAGTGTAGGCAGTAACTACCAAAGATAAATAAGTGAGGTCGAGCAAAATCTCTAAATTGATCAAAGTTAGACGTTAACACCGTCGAATGCCAGCTCAATGGTCCAGAGGTTAAGCGTTCGCTCGCAAGACCGAAGGTTCTGGTTTCGAATCTTGCGAGGTGCAGGAGTCGTGGATGCGCACTACTGATGAGTCCCATACCAGGACGAAGCGGCCGTCCAGTACCTTTAGGTTTCGTATGGTGCTCTAACAATGATTGATTGATGATTTCAATGTGCAAATAATCTGTAGAAATTAAAATGTGGTTTAATGCGCTTCATGAAGATTGGTTTTAATTTATAGATAGTATTGGTCATGAATTAATCTCAG